TGCCTACAATAACAGCAGAAAAAAAATTGTAGAAACATCCTTTATAACCGGAAAAAAAACTTATTTCTTTTTGATATTTTCTAACGATATGCATATTTGTAATTTTGATTTTTGCTTTTTTCTAAAAAATTTTTGTTCACTAAAAAATGTTTACAAGTTGGCCCTCTTTTTTCGTTTTTTTTTTTTTGAAAATAAAATTTTACAAGTTTTAGTTTTTGTAAAAATTTTATTTGTTATATATACCTTTTTTCTTGACTTCATTTTTTTTTTTTGAATTAAATTTTGTTAGGTTACTGTGCATCAAAACCTATAGAAGCAGCGAAAAGTACAGATGTCAAACCAATTACTTACCACTTGTTTTGCATCTTTCAGAAGTATAAATGTTGGCATAACTGTAATATCGAATTCGTTAGCAAGATTTTCCTTAAAAAAAAAAAAAACACTGATAAACATCATCTGCAAAATTTGTATTAAATTTAATTTTAAAAAAAAAAATTTTTTTTCTCTGAGGAAAAAAAACAGAACAGAAAACTAACGATTGCAAGGGGAAAAAAAAAACTGCTGCTTTTTTTGGTCATTTTAAGTTACCCCATTTTTTTAAGATTACCTCTTTATCAACATCCACTTGTATGCAGACAATTTTATCTTGAAATTCTTCAGCTAATTCCTGCAAAAAAAAATAGGTAAAAAATGTGAAAAAGCAGTGAAAAAGCAGAAAAAGCACAAATAACATTCAACAATTTGAAAACTATAGTAGGCTATACATAGCAAAAAAAAAAAACAAGTTGCTAGGTTAATTTAATTTTTTTAACAAATTAGATTGACATTTGATTGATCTAAAAAATAAAAATTTAGTCAGTCTTTATTAGCCAAAAACAGAATTGAAAAGAGCAGTAGGAAGAATCAAAATTAACTGGAAAAAAAAAATTATTAGTATCTGAAATATAACAGTATACCTCAAATTTTGGTGCAGTAATTTTACACGGTCCACACCATACCACATAGAAGTCCACCACATAAACTTTTTTGCTGTTCTGTTGAATCAGTTCACGAAATTCTTTCTGAAAACAAAAAAAATTGACTTCAGTTTTCAACTTTTATTTACCAAAAAAAATAAATTTCCTAAACTTTTTTTTCTTTTTTTTCTTTTTAAAAAACCCAAAATTTTTTCTCTCAAAATACATTTGTTAAACAATCAATTGTTCAATCAGTTTGACACACGCTTTCATTTTTTTGATCTTAAGAAAAAAAATGCAGTCTATATTTTTTCTTGTTTTATATTCAAAAACAATATTATATTTGCAAAATGTAAAAATTTTACATTTTAGACAGTTAATTTATCAAAATAAAAGAAATTTTTTTTGTTTTTTGCTGTTTTTTTTCCCTTTTTTTTGTGGCAACATTTGTTCATTAATTATCAGTGACCAAAAAACTGAACCAACGCCAATAACTCAACAATGAATTTCAGCAAAAAAACAACTAATGTCTGTGGTAAGATTATAGAATTTTTAAAAAGAAGCAACTTTTTGAACTGTTCCCAGAAAGATAATTAAGCAAGCAA